TAACTACACACTCTTCTTCGATAAAAACATGGTCTCCAATATGAAGTGGGAAAAATGCAACTCTGAAACAAACAATTTGAGGGTCAGACTTTGTTACTTCTTGGATGGAGTTCAATTTCAACATTTTTTTGGTTTTGAAAATTCAATAACTGTAAACAATTCAATTTTCTCCAATGAAAAGTTTGCTACTTCATAATTTACAAGTTTTTCAAAAACAACATTTTTGTGACAGTCACTGAACTAATGACACGTTTGCAGTTCTCAAAGTTTCCTTGTTGCTTAGCTACTATGCATGTGAAAGAGGGTTGAATCAACGTCGATTCACTTCCAGTCAGCAGAAATGTGTGGTTTGAATTATCACGAAAAACTAAGGCAAACAGGCTCACAATCAACCAGTTGTAAATTCGACCCCTTATTCCTGTTGTGATCATCTTTTATAGTAACATGGCATTCATGAAACATGCTCAAACTCAAAACTCTTCTATTGTTTGGCATGGTTGTGTTGGAGGAGCTACTGTACAAATCAACAAAGATGCTACTGTCGCTTAATTTTTGGAATTAATAAACAAATGTAACTACTGGAATGCACTTAAAATGGTTTTCATAATTGTAATTTTCATGTTCAAAATTTGCACACTGAAGGCACTATAATTAATTAAAATATTGATGATTTAAATCCAAATGGATGAATTTAAAAAATGTTCAAGATCAGCTCAAGGCAAATTCAAATCATCAACATTTACGATTTAAATCCAAATTGAGGTAGTAGTATTAGAGGGTAGTGCCGCATATTTAATATGAATATCATCATGGTGGTTTCCACATCTGATATTTATGTATAACTGGTACAAAGTGCTCTAATAGGTAATACCACACTCACCCTTTACTAAATTTTTTGAATGGTGGTCTGACAACTGTTTTTTTACCAATGACGCAGTGTCTACCAACACGCACATTTGCGAGATCACCTCGGATTATGCAGTCTGATTGAATAATTGTCTGGAACAGAAAATATTAAATTCACTATGATTAAATTAACTTTAATAACAGTTAATAAATTAATTAGCAGAGTAGAATATTTTATTATACTGGATCAATATCACACAATTGAGCAATTAAGTAATGGTTGAATCAAATACGACACAGGGGTTTGCATACTCCTAAACCCAAATTGATAGACCAACCGACTCATCGATTGACCCATATGAATATGTGTGAATGTAGATATAATCAATATATCGACTTTCTTAACACAGTCTAAGCACCATGGAAGCATATTTATTATTAATCACAAAAGTAATTCAGCTTGTTGTTTAAAGTAAAGCCAAAGTTTTTTAATCAAAAATTTATTGAGATGTTTACACAATCAGTTATTACAAAATGCAGAGCCAGTACTACATGCCAAATACCATATCATTAAGAATAATTTATAATAATTATAATAATTTTTTATTCACTAACGAATGCGACTTTGGGGGAATCTTGGTTAAGGTCTGTAGGTGCTTGTGTTCAACCGAGCCTGGTTGACGCCAGGATAGCGCATTAAAATAGCTATTTGATAGAGATATGGCCACACAGCTCTGTCATGTAGTCCTATAACATGAATATGAAAATGCACTATGTGTCAGCACTAGCACTTGCAATTTGCACTTCAAAAAAAAGTCAGGAGAGACAAAAGTGACACTCAATGTCCAGAACTGTCACCTAGCACACAAAAATGTATTTAAAAAAAAAATTAAAAAAAAAAAAGAATAATTTATACAGAAAAGTAATTCATGCAACCATGGTATTAGAAAGCAGTGATGAAAGGCATAGATAAGCACTGTTAATGGTATGATTAATCACTCAGAGCACCAGTAGGATAAAGAAATGCAATGAAATTAGAGTTTTTTAGTAGACGTCACTTTGATTTTAATTATATGGTTCTATTAAAGGAGGACTTCAATTGCAGGTATGACAAAAGTAGAGCTAGCATCATGTACATTATCATTACCTTTCCATTGAGTACAATATTCTGACTTCCACAAAGAACAGACTGTCTGCTCACCTTATTGCCAGATGCCTAGAGAATGAACACATAAATAGAGTCAATTAAAAAAGCCAATTGACCGTATACATGTAGTTATGACAATAGAATACTGTAGACTACTTTATTTTCACTTGGAATTATTAATTTTCGCTATTTTCGCTGAAGGAATGATTTAGTGAAAATAAAATCCAGTGAATTTACTATTTTTCCTATATTTTACATTCAACTCGTCAAAAATCAGTGAAAATAAATTCCATACAAACTCTCGAAAAGTGTTTTCAGCAAAAATTAATTCCAGCTAAAATAAAGCATTTTACAGTATTCAGAGATTATTCTGAAAATACTGCAAGTATGGATGTAGTCAGTATGGCAATCTTTTGACTTTCGTATGGACTTATACTATATATATTTTTGTAGTAATAACATGATGAGATATAAAAAAAAAATTAAATGACAACAAATTAATTTAGCACTGTGCAAAGATTTTTGGCCCAGTGACAGGATTCCATTCCAAAAGGTGCTTCTATGCTCAATGTGAACTAATGTGTTGGAATGTTAAACACATCAATTTTGAGACTTTGTAATAATTTATAGAATATTTATAAAACATTTACCCCGGAAGACCCTCACTTTTCATTCAAATCTTAAGACGACACTCTCCATGGCTTGAAGGGAAATTTAGTAACATCCATAACATTTTCTAAAGTGCTGTGATTGGTCAAGCTGTCTTCAACCATCATTGTAAAATTATAAAACAATAAAAAATACTTTATAAAAGAAACACATTTATTTCTTCACAAAAGTGTATATAGCTAGCATCTAAATGTTAGTAACATTTTTGTTAACGTACTGCCTTCTGAAAGCTCCACTGACAAATGTGTAAAAGAAGTCAGCAGGCAATGTGTATTATAATTACTCTTAATAATATAGGCTACTTTAGCGGTAATCACAAGTGTCTGCTGACGTCAACGTAAGAGAATGGGATTATATATTCATCACATGCATATTTCCACAACAGGACATAACGAAATGGCGACAATGGAACTATTGCTGAAATAACACCGGGTGCAAAAATATCATTGAGCACGCATGTATGCTAATTTTTGTTGAGGCCATGATGTTCTATTTCATGTGAACACCTTTGTGCATGCTGTATGGCGATTCTACTCATTCGTGATATTTGGTCAAATTCATAAAGATTTTTTAAATGTTCAGGCAGCGTGTACAATGAAAACAATTTGGCAGTATATGTGACTCAGTGGCGGCAGCACGGGGGAGGGGGGGGGATAGCGTTTCAGAGTCTAGATTTCAAAATTTGTAGGGGGGGCATGCCCCAGGACCTCCTAGTAAGGTCTCGCCTTCAGCCCAAGGTTGGTGAGCAGATCTCACCCCCTCATACAAAATTTCCTGCTGCCGCCTCAGTGACATAACATAAATAAATACCGTAAAATCTCTATTAAAAGCTGCATCCCTAATAGAAGCCGCACCCATTATTTTTGAACAATTGAGACCCAAAAATTTACCATTTCTCATATGTGTAGATGCTCTAATAGCAGCCGCATCCCCTCTGTTGCATTGTACCATTTTAAAAGAAGCTGCGGCTTTTAATACAGATTTTACAGTAATTATCACAAATGGAATAAGCAGCAATTGAATAGAACATAGATATTCTATTGACAGTTAACAAAATCATCGACTCAAAGCATTTTTTTTTTAATTTTGACTCTGATGCTTCAACTCCAACATGAATTTAGTTTTACTCATTGTTTCAACATAAAGACAAAATAATTCACACACATGGTTGTTGAAATTCACAAAAATAACATTTTTGAAGGCATGAACTGTTTTTATTGAAATTTATAAAACATTTACCCAAGCACTTCATTCAAATCCAAATAAATATTGCTTTCATGGGCTATAGAATCAATATGATAATACCCATTACCCATGAGTCTTTATTAATCATTGCTCTATTTACAGCCATGCATCCTAAATGTGTGGTGTTGTGTTTTTCAGTCATCATTTAGATTTATGAATCATTTATTAATATTTTAATAAATCGTAACAAAAACGTTTTAGCTAAACCAATACAAAACAAAATAATTCACTGATATTTTTTGTTGTGTGTGTGCAAATACTATTAATAACCGCACCTGACACATTTGACACACGCAGAACGACAGATGATGAGCTGTCGAGTTCTCATTCAACGAGGAAAAATAACAGAAATTTCCATTAGTCATCGATGTTTAAAATTACCTACTCTTACTTACAGTTTCGATGAATTTCTCGCGAATAAAAAACATGTCGGGTTGCTCCATGGTGGATTCAGTCCCGAAATAGCCGAGCAGCTGCAAATCGCAGAGCAAAATGGGCGAATCCTTGCATAAATTAGATATTCACAGCTGTATATTTTTTCACTGCTGTGGGCGGGCGAGTTATTTATATTCGATGCTAGAATTGGAATGTTGAATTGAAGGAGGAAACAAAACCAATCTCTGTCAATTACTTACCGTTTCTATGTATTCCGCTTTATTGTAAAATGTATCTGTCAGCTCCATTATAACAAACTTACATTATTATTTTGAAGCAAACCCAACACCATTATACCGAATCGTGAGTAAAGTGATCACGAACAAACATAGATTTGAAATAAAAAGACTACCTCGAGGTGGCGCTCTAACATACTGAAAAAATCGTTTCCAATAATACTCCGTAAATATTTTAGGTATCCACTATTGTGATTTAGGATAAATGTTTGTTGAAGACTATGGTAAAGGTAAATAACATAAACTAGTTGGTCAAACAACGAGTTTATTACCTGTCGATCTAACAAAACGAACGAGTTACACATATTGTCGTCGGAGGGCGCTGTCACTGGAACTTGGGCGACCGATCATTTGCTGTTATTATACAACAGTTATACCTCTAGTCAGCTTATTTCTGAGGTCAACTGAAGTTGCTTCGTGGTCAGGAGTGTCAAGGTGTGTTGGTAGGTCCATGGTCAAGGTAAACGTCGACATGGCTTCTTCATTTATCAGAGCAGGTTAGTCAATGGTAACATGCCAACAAGGATGGTATTTAAAAAATAATAATAACGATGCATCTAATCCGAATTATTCAAACTAGCTAATTTACATACTCTCAGCACAACAAACCCATTACCTTTTGGGACATAACATTGGGACATTTTCCAAAAATGTTCTGTATTGGCGCATTTGAAAAAAAAAATAGAAAAGGAACACACAAGTGTAGGTTCAGCAAATTTAGTCTATTTTCGCCAACAAATAAAGAATGCTCTATTTTTATTTTCATGTATAAGGGGTATTTTGTTTAGTGCGCTTATCAGGTTTGATGTGTTGAAGGCAATTGTTATATTTTTATACCTATAATGTTCCAGCTAACAGCAGGTCTTGTGTTCAATTATGAGAATAACCCCCATTCTGTAACTTACATGAACCAGAATTCTGAAGTGGAGATATACCCTCAATCATGCACATTGATTTTGGCATGAATATATCCTGCATGAAATTCCCTGCATTTTATGAATATGTTTCTGTGAAAGTATTAAAGCGGGAGGGTCATCACCTGCACACGCGCTGGAATTGAGTCCCAAGTGATGACAACAACACATGCTAAGAACACAAAGGCTCATGGGTAGACACTTGTTTGTAAACAATGACACGCTATGGCCAACTGACGCATGCACAGGTGACGACTCCCTCGCTTTAAGAACATAAGTCAGTGAATCGTGCCACGCTCAACAATCCCTGGTTGAATAGAAAAGATGCGAGCACCGTGTAACACATATAAAGTTGTAGAATTGAGTTTAAATTTTTATCACATGCAATCTTATGTCATGCTTGTTGAAAGACATAATAAGCAGTCAATGATCCACCCCCCCCCACCCCCCGCCATGCATATACATGGTTATAATGAACAAGAGGGTAAGGGGAATGAGTCAAATGTTAATTTGCATATTTTCAGTGCTTCCCAGATTGGCATGCAGACATTTGAAAATTGGGAATAATTGTAATGGTCGGTACTTGTATGGATGCAATAAAAGATGGGTTAGTAGTGGTTCTGATTTGGTACAGGTAGAACAAGATGACTCGGATAATGGTAATTTATTCTGTAATCCACCTTATTCTCTAAATATATTTCTATCTGTAAGCACAAAATACCCTTGTGCACACTGCACTATACACATAGATTATTAGCTCGTGCAAGTAAACTCAAAATATAATGTGCACACTGTGCATGTAGAAATTAACACAACATTTTCTCATTATATTCACTAAGCCTAAATTAAGTTCAACCAAGCTTGTGAGACAACTAAAAAAAATCAAATTCTTTCATGATTGCATGAATCGAGAACTCGTAAATTTTATTTAAACTATAAAAATGGTGCATTTCACAACAAGTTAGTGCAGGTGAATTTCAAATTCAACATGCACACTATGCATGCAGGGAAAAAATTCTATTTCAATCCCTGGTACTACATCACATTTGATAGGGTACTTACTGCAGTGACGTATATAAAAGATTTAAAACATGCCCTGTTTGCTCACACATAATTCAATGAAAGTCACTGTTGTCTCTTCGGACTTTTTTTCTTTTTTGTAAGTGCAAATTGCAAGTGTTAGTGCTGACACATAGTGCATTCTGCCACAGAAGTCATTTCCTGTTTGGGACTACATGACAGGGCTGTGTGGCCAGCTTCCTATCAAATGGCAATTTTAGTGCGCTATCCTGGCATCAACCAGGCTTGGTCGAACACAGGCACCTTGCGGACCAAAACTAAGGTTCCCCCAAAGTCGCATTCGTTATATATAGTGAATGAATCTCAGCCAGTGGAATTGGCCTTCCCATTGAGTCTGTGGCACACTCACCCAGTGACTGGCATAATTCAAACTTGAATTTTGGATTTATAAAATTGCATTTTTCTAAAATGTTTATAGTGCCCTTAGTCACGCACTATACTATATAATGGTTTCAAAGAATAATATTTTCACAGAAATAGTAGTATTGAAAATGAATGTGAAACCTGTGAATGCTTGTACTGCTGAGTTCAACAATGCAATGACTAAACTGATAAAGGATTTAGATGCAGATGAACAAAGCAAAGGTCTTATTTTAACATCAGTAAGTACAGAATGGTTTGAGTTTTAATGAGTGTGAACTTTGGGTTGACAGTATTTGTGGATACTATCTGAACGCTGGGCATATTTATTTCATTCCTTATATTATACAATTTACAGTAAGCTATTTCCTCAAATTTAGTTCAGATTCTCTCTCAGATTAAATTTTGTTATTTCTTGCTCTTAGAACTATAAATATAACACACTTGCAGATGACACAAATGCAGATTTTCCTGCATTTTTTTGAAAATCTTTTATTAATTATTGCGACCTCTGTTAAGCTGTGGTCAATTCCGAAAATGTGCATGTTATAAAAAAATTATTTTTTGCAATAGACTATTGGAGTATAATTGCCAGTCATCATTTATTTTGAGTATTGTATATTTGTTTCATTGTTCAAAATCTGAAGTTGGAACTTCACAACAATATTATAAAATGCTTTATTTTCACGAGTCATCTTTTAGCAAATTTCGGCAAGAGTTTTGTACCCCCATCCCTAACCGTAACTCTAACACTCACTCCCAGTTACCCAATTCATTCAGGTATTTAAAATGCCAAATAATGATCATGCTCACGTAATTCTCACGTACGTGAGTTAGACCGGAAATCGGCCAAACTCACGCGTGCGCGTGAGAATGGGTGTTTTTACGTGTGTTCTCACGTAACACAGTACACTTCAAGGGTTACAAAGATAAATGCGTGAACGTGCGTGAGAACGATTGTTTTTTAGTGCGTTCTCACGTGGAGATCGAAAATGCGTTAGATCCCGATCTCACGTGCGTGAGAGTGATTGTTTTTTAGTGCGTTCTCACGTGAAAAAGAAAATTGCGTGAGAACCCTTATAGGGTTTTACGTCCTAATCTCACGTGCGTGAGAATGATTGTAATTTTGACCTATAAATAACTCAATTCATTTGTATATGCCCCCTCTAGATGTCCTTAGGAGGGACATGTACAATTAAATGGGGAGTGCTGGAGAGTAGGGGTAGGGTTACGGTTAGGGATAGGGGGTACAAAAAGAACTCTTTCCCAAATTTCTTGCAAATGTATTTTAAATCACTGAGATCTAAAATACCTTAAATCACAACAATTTCAATCAGCAAATATTATAGTTGTCAGTGTTTCTATCTGTTGACACATTGGATGCCAGACTAAACAGCACCAAAATTCATGATTTCTTTTCTTGCAGACACTTCCTAATGTATTCAGTGCTGGTTTACAATTAACAGCCTTACATGGTAAGTCATATGACGAAATCAAAGAATACTTCAGTACTTTTCAGACCATGGCTCATACACTGTTTACATCCAGATTAGCAACAGTTGCAGCCATTAATGTAAGTATCTTTGATAATAATTATCTTGATATTTGGAAACAACCCAAGCCATGGCCATGTTTTACCCACAGTTTATAAAATTTGCTGTAAAAATTTACCTGCACATACTCATGTGTCATTGTACCGGTATGTTGGACTACTGTAGTTGTTCGATTCATAGACCCTCTAAAAGAGGTAACAGGAATAATGCTGCCAAGTGAAAGTGTTGATAGCATCACTGTGATGGTGCTTCTTTGTTGACAGTGTGATGTCAGACGGATGTGCTACAGTCGATAATTAACTAAGTAAAAGTAATTAAACAGTAATCCGTACCAAGATTCATCGTACATCCTCTCCTCGTGCATGCTTCCTTTGATCTTTGCCAACAGTTTCCCATCCCTCTTTTAGAGAATCTATGTTCGATTATAAATTTAACCATACTCAAGTATACACCCCTCCAAATTTAGCGCATTCATTAATTTATCTGATTATAAAAACAAGCACCCCTCTACATACACAATGAAAATGAATGACACAACATGCATTACCATTACCAAGGTGAACAATTTTACTTATGCAAATTTCTACTATAATCTCTTGTTGTCCTCTTATACAATTTTGGTTAATAGTGAACTCCATAATGCTTCATATTTGCATATAAATTATCATTCTAGGGAAGTTAACATTTGTATATGTTTATAAGACCCCCACCCCCCTCTCCCTTAATTTTTGTGAATTTTTCATTTTTCCAGTAGGGGTTCATACTCTGAAAACTACAGTAAATATTCAACAAACAAATTAATTCACTGTGTTGTAAGTTACCTGCATATAATGTGGGTATGTGATGAATAAATTGATGACAATAAAAACAAAAGAATCAATGTCCAGCCAAAATCTTCTTAGGGAATGTTGTTTTTGTATTAAAAGTAAATTTATGATTTCAGTGTATTATATTCTCTGTTTCTTTCAATATCTTTAAAATGGAGATGACTAAATTTAAATAAATCAAGATATTGTTACGTACTTACAGGGACATGCCATTGCTGGTGGTTGTGTTATTGCACTATGCTGCGAGTACAGAGTGATGGCCGAGGGTAAATTTCATAACGGACTTAATGAAGTAATTGTAGTGAGTATGTTTAAAGCATGCTAGTCCACATACAATGAACATAAATAGAGTGACGACTAAATCTTTCCATCTCACTTTTTCTGCTGGGAAATTTGTTGTCTACTGACTTGTACTCGTACAGACCATTGCTACACAATAAACACATAGTAATTATATTACAGCATGTGTGAAATGAGCTGCGTTTGTGAACAAACATTTGTATTCGGTCAATAATATTTTGCATGTTGCGAGTATTGAGCAATAGAAGACAATGAGAGTTTACCAGCAGCAAGAAATCTCTGAAAACTAGCCTAGGGATGATTTTGTACGTGTTTTTTTGGCCAAAAAAAGTAAACATGTGTGAGATGGAATAAATCCATAAACCTGCATTAATTGTTTTCTTTCCAAGTAAGTGTTGCCCGCACTACTGATGCTGTGACACCATAGTTACATTCGTTGCAACACCAATTGGAATACACAGACTCTTCAAGATTTTAATATAAACTCAATGTTAGATCCAGAAGCGGTGCTTGACGACACTAGGGTCTAGGTATACTGGTGTATATTGCTAATTTCATTGTTGTGATCATTATGATTATAAGTATTATAATTGTAATACAATGTTGCAGTATATTACCCAATCGCAAAAGTTCTCTCAGGTTTACATTCAGAGAATCTATATATAGAATAGAGATCATGTATCCTGCTATCTGATTGGTGGAAATAGCTTTGCTATGTTAGAAGTTTAGATTATATCAATCTACTGACCAAGTGAAGGTCAAATCATGTACAGGTCACAGGTTAAACAACCATTTGGATAAAAATAATAAATTAATTAATTTTACAAACTATATTATTTGACAGGGTATACCAATGCCAGCGTGGGTGAGTGCTTACACAGTCTATGCTTTAGGCACCAACACTGCAGAAAAAGTAATACTATCTGGTAAAAAGCACACCCCTAGAGAAGCACTTCAAGTTGGTCTGGTTGATCAAGTAGTGCCACCAGATGATCTTATCCAAGTTAGCAAAAATATATTATCAGATTTAATAAAAGTTGGAGGTAATGATAATATTATTTAATATCTGCATATTAATACCTAGACTGTTGACAGTCCTCGGGCCTAATGTAATTATGTGTCCTAGACATTCAAACACTGAAGGTGTTGTTGGGGAATGCGAAGCATTTCACGCGAGGAACTTCATTGTCTAACAGCACTCCATACTTCATGTCCCGGCATTCGCAATTTATTTACATCTATTACGTTTATACATAATATTTATTAATAATAGCAGAGTAATATTAGGTATGACGGACCGTCGACAGTCTAATTAATACCTTACAGTTGTATTGTTGTTACAGTTGTGTTTTATAATTTTATTGAAAGTCTTATATTAAGTATTATGAGCCATAAATTAAGTCCAAAACTTATGTTTGTGAGTTACTCATAACATATTTGATTAGTTTCAACGTTCAACACCAAGTAAGTATTTGATTGGCAATTACTATCCCATCATGCACTGTCTCTGTTTCAAAATCTGAATCGCTGGCCATGCAGTGGTGACATCAAAATCAACAATTGAGGGGAATATGATAATATCATTTTTAGATTGTTGATCAGAAAATATCGTGCATGCAATTCTATGACTGGACAAAGTTCTATGATTCTTAGAATTTACAAATATCTTTCGAATACCGTATCTTGCTTTTAGTATGTGACACATATTACTTAACATGTCAAGCCGTAGAGTTTGTTTGTTTGTGCTAATATTCACAGGGTTGGGGTATTGATCATTAGTTCAATATGGGTCCTATATTACACATGGCTACATTTGTTTTTGTTTATTTACACAAAATTCATGTGTACTTAGTTACGATGACCAGTGCCCTTTAAACAGACGTCCACAGGCATAGTTATATCAATTACATTCAAAATAACATTATATGTCATTTGCCAATAATATTCATTGTGACAGTTTCATTTATGACGACTTATGTCCAAATCACAGCAGATTTTTGTCCAAATCACAGTATCAAAATTCCAATTCCAATTTCATATTCTTTTATTATAATTTTTCTTCAGATTATCCTCGTAGATTGAGCAAGGAAAGGCTGAGAAAAGAACTGCTGATGTTCTCGCTTTGAATCCTGATAAAGAAGCGCAGTTATTTGCTGAGTCTGCAGTCACAGATGAATTCCAAAACAGACTAACAAAATATTTGAACTCATTGAAAAAAAAATAGATTCTTCCAGAATGTGATGTCATCCATTTTAGTTTATGCTTTGGTCAGTTGATCAGTCTATAACTTTCTCTGAGATTATTTTTACTTGAACTGTTAACCTCTGTGTTAACAAACTAATTCAACTGTATCAAAATATAATATAATATATAAAAAGTGATATAAAAAGTCTGAGATTTTCGTTCAGCAAATGTATTCTCACCTTGATTAATTATTCTTGAGGTAGAAACAATGTACAATGTTTCTATCTCAATGGATGGTGTATACTATTCAGTGTTGTATATCTAAACTTTGCGTTGATGAACTAAAGTTTATAGAAGCAGAATACTGTGAAATTCAGGACAGCGCTATTTTGTTCAAACAAAAAATCTACCGGTTGTATTAAGATTTTAAAATATTTAGCTCTTAAAATCAGGTAATCAAATCAAATCAAATCAAATCCAGAGATTATTTTTTTGAAGTTCACATCTGCTTAAGACAGTATGTCGAATACATACTTAGTAATTAATAATTAGATTTACTATAGTCACAATTTCAATGGTCATAGAATCTACCAGAAGCAGTGAGTTACAAAAGATGGGGACATGATTTCCAGTCTCTGTTCTGCATGTACAGTAGTTGCCATTATTATGCTGCCCTGGGGGAAATTAGTAGTGGTAGATTGTGCCATCCCACATTTTACACTTGTAAATTACAGAATTATATGTAGAATTATTCCACTGGCCAATCACAGTCTACTATCAACGTGTACTTGTCAAGAAGAGGGAGTTATTATTACTAAGTGCGTACGTAAAGTTCAGAGGTTCATGTATGGTTAATGAATGTCAAATGTATTGATAGTTCAGTGGAAGTATAGCTTGGTGCCCCTGGAAAAGAGCCGCCTTTTTAATGGAACGTTCTCGACAAAACTGTTGCAGACGAAACATCGATTGATGCTGCTGGTAGAAAAAAAGGTAATCACCAGTGTAACACTGGGTATGACCATAGAAGAGTAATAGGAAACGCGCTCTTTCATCTGGGAGCATTCTGCTGTTTTCCCGTACTTCCACTTTTAATCTGTGTTAAACATGTGCAGTGCATGCTGGCACAGTTTGTTTAACAATAAAATCTCATAGTACCGATTTTGACATACGTTAGAAAGCAATAATGTAATGCGTGGTGATACCAGAAACCAGAAATGTGTGAATGTTGGCAACACAATAATTTGCATTCTCTGTCGCAGAGACTATGGGTCTTTTATTGCTAAGCTAGGTAGTCGCCAAGGAACGTCCCACTAGTTGCGGCTCTCTATGGCTCCCTAGGTCACGAAGACTCTGCAAGGGAGAGTGAATAATTTGTACTTCATTTTATTGAAAAACCTTCATGTTGTATGTTATGTGACATTCAACAACAATTATTCACGCGATAACTCACGTGAGACTCTTTCGGAAATGCAAGGCATTTGCACATTTCCCATTTTTGTCGACTTGAGTAACATTCTCAATAGGACAGGAAGTCCTGTGTATTTTAAGATTGGCACCACTTAGCAGGAATCACAAACTACGTGAAATCAATGAAAATGCTTCAGTTTCTTATCCTTCTCTAGAGTCTCTGGTATGACTGCTGGGAGATAACATAAGCAAAGGATGTGTTATGAGCGGGCCAAGAAAACTCTGATGTGACAAAACGATTTGTTCGAAGAGGGCCAATAACATCAGGTCACATACCCGCCAGGATAGACAACCACTTTTACTCGTAGAAATTATGTTTCTAAACATTAATTCTGAACATAGATGGTTTGCCATATTTTTTTAGATTTTTTTTAATAGAACTAATTATCTCATTGTGACGTATTAATAATTATCATCATGGTGCATGGAAATCCTATATTTTTCTGTTGTGGTCAATTGAAAATAAATCAAACTAATATTCTATCAAACATATATAGTAACTAAAGTCTTTCTTTTTCCACAACACAGTTATAAATATAGATCATTTTTTAAAAATCAAGGCCTTATGAACGACTCGTGAACTATTTATTTGTTTATAATACTGCTTATTTTAAAGGGCGATAGTCGTCACGCCATGCATGCGAGAGATACGAGGCCCCACCATGAACCAAGGGGCATAACTCCTATTCTGAGTCTGAGGAGTCTTAAGTCACTACCTATAGAAATGCAAATTTGGATATTTGTTAATAAGCATGTGGTGCCCATTTAAAATCAGCAGGTGAGACGAAATTCACAAAGTGGACCAGACAGAAGCTTGTGCTGTGATCAAGTATCTCTATAAAAAAGGGATGACTCCCAAAGAAATCCTTGAAGACATGGTCACGACACTTGGTGAGGACTCCCCTTCTTATTCCATTGTAAAGAAGTGGGTAGCAAACGAGACAAGGAGATGACCCAAGGTCTGGATGCCCAAAATCTGCCACCACGGACAATCAGGTTGAGGCCATCCATCACATGGTAATGAATGACAGATGTGTCACTAACCGAAATATCGGGCATTTACTAGGCATCAGTTATGGTGCAGTTCAAAATGTGTTGTCGAACATCTTGGGCAGCTGCTGCTGCTGTCTGCATGGTGGGTGCCCGAATGTTGACTCCACATCAGAAGTTGAACAGGTTTCAAGGACAAGTTTCCAGTCAAATCCTGGCAATTTCCTCAAGAGATTTATGACCTAAGATGAGACATGGGTTCATCACTTTGATCCAGAATCAAATAAGCAGAGTGAACAATGGTCACATAAGGGGGTTCACAGCCGCCCAAGAAGTTCAAGCGAGTGGAATCAGTCGGCAAGGTGATGGCCCCTGTGTTCTGGGACAGCAAGGAAGTCATCATGATTGACTACTTGCAAAGGGTCAAACAATGAATGGAGAGTACGGTGCTCCAGAACTGCGACAGTTAAGAGCAGCAATCAAAGAGAAAAAGGAGAGGAATGTTTGAGCTGGTGTGTTTGCTCCAGGACAATGCACCTGTCCACACTGCACAGTGGAGTGGCAGCAGCAACGAATGTGACTTTGAACTCTTACCTCACCCTTCCTACTCACCTGACCTGGCACCGTCGGGCTTTTACCTGTTTTCTAAACTGAACTCCACTTGCGTGGTAACCGTTTTGAGACTGATGATGACGTCATCCAAACTGTTAAGGCCTATCTAAAGGATCAATATGAAACCTTTTTTCAGCAGGAAGTAGGAAAACTGAAACATCGATGGACAAAGTGCATTGAACTTAGAGGTGACTATGTTGAAAAATAGTGTAAGAAAAATCTTCCTTCTGTAACGTTTTATGAGGAAGGCCGAGAACTTATTGATCACCTCTCATATAGATCTCATATAAACAATGTTGGCTATTTGACTGTTGCACAGATCAAGAAGTACAAACTGAGACGTTACCAAGCTTTAATTAGTTATTTTTTTTAGATGAGTAGAAGGTCACTGGTGGTAAGTTAGTGCAAGTCGCGGCCAGGTCAAACCTCATACTTATGATTTCCATTAGAAGAGCGCATTGGATTATGGGAAAAATCAGTGTTCATCAACATGCGCAGCGCGATGACCACTGCCCTTTAAAATCTCGACGTGAGTTTGTTGTACATAATATTCATCCAGAATGACAGGCGGACCTCATGTTACAGTTCAAGATGAAATATCAGGTACGTCGTCATCTTGAGGGGCCAGGGCTTGTGTAGGGTAACTTTGCTCATGCAATTGTATCTATAAAACAATATTTCGGTATCATCTGGTCGTCTTTATTGAACAGTTTAATGGTAAGGGCGCATGTAAAAGAAGACGTCAGTCTGCGCGTTGTCGCGTATCAGAGAGCAGTACTTTGATGATTGTTAGTATGTAATATCAATATTTCATTGTTCTCTCTCGCAGGTGCATTTCACCTTGCGTACTTTCAGTGTAAATGGAACCGGTATAGGTCCAATTTAACAGTAACAGTCTTACCTCGTGAGCGACTTTGATTTGTAACCGGTTCTACCATATGAGACACATTATATCCTGATGGTTTCAGTTTCTTTTATTTACATTATTATTTTTAAGCGAACCTAAAACCATCATACACGAATCGCGAGCAAAGATATCACAAACATAGATTTGAAATAAAAAAAAACACCGAGGTAAATTATTATAGATATTGTTTTTATTATAATAGTGCTGCTTAAATAATATAGGTATCTACTATTATGGTATGAGGTAACTTTCTGTTGAAAATTATGGTTAACAAAATCAACTAGTTGGTCAAAGAAAAAGTTTATTTCATAACAGTCTAAAAACGAATGATTTACACTTAGCATCGTCCGAGGGCGCCTCACCTTGAACTTGCCTGTTCGACTCAAGGTCACGGTCATGTCAAGTGAAACCCTTAGTCAACAATAATTATCATCCTTGGTCAGATGCAGCTGCCTTTGTGGTCGGTCGAAGTGAATATCGAAATGGCTTTACTATATATAAGAGCAGGTTAGTCAATGTTGAAAGGAACATATCTGTCTCAACTAAATTAAACAATTAATCATGGCCGCGGCCCTAAATTCACC